GTTTATTCGCCATAGGATTGTGGGTCCCCGCATGACCCCACTCACATGGGCCGGGGCACCGGGAGGAGGATCTGCCGCGGGGGGGCTCCCTGGGACTCCCCCCCACCACGATCGCCGGCGGGTAAGTAGGCAAAAACCAGAGGGCGTACAATTACGCCCGGCGGCGTTTAGAGCCGCCTAAAATAGGGCGTAATTGTACGCCCTCCGGTCAGAAAGGGTTAAAAGAAATCCAGAATTAACTACGCTAACATATACTCCATTCTGAGACGCTTCCATTTTAACTCTGCCAATTATTGTTATAAACTCTGTCCTTTGCAACTAGCAGTCAGCATGGAATAACCAAGAGAAGATGAGAAGTGACAGAAAATGTTTTTATTTCTCCTGTCTTGATCCACGGATAAATCTGACTGCCATTCTGGGGTCAAGAAGGAATTTGTTTCCTAGTTTGTTGCAAACTTAGAAAATGCTTCAAACTGGGTTTTTTGCCTTCTTTTGGATCAACAGCAAAAAACAGATGTGAGAAAGGCAGAACTTTATGGATACACATATCTTTTCAGCCTACATAACTAGGTATCTAATTATTATTGGTCATATGTGCCCTGGCTAAGCCTTAACTGAACTGGACAATAATGTCATTATCTAAAATGTTTAATATAACTAAAAAAATAAATAAATACATCATATATCATATGATAATAATGTAAATACTAGTTACAGGACAGGTGATTTTTAATGTTTTAGTCACTTGTCCATTTGTCAAGGAACCAAGCAATTCACTTTAACAATTATCTACACTGAAAAATAAATATTTTCCCTGCACACAAGAGAAATATGACTGGGATTGGGATGGCTGGCAAGGATGATGTAGGGGAGAAATTGTCAACTGGGTTAGTAGCATACAGGGCTTGTAGACTCGCACCATTCTTCAGCAGAATATTTAGAATAACATGAGCTGCATTGGAATTTTTTGGCACAGTAAAGTAGGACTGAAGCAGCTGGCAATGAATATGTAGGGACTTTTCTAAGTAAGCACTGTATAAGGCTGGTGATCCGTAATGTCAACGTCCTCCAGGCCTGAATTGGCTCACAGGGATATTTCCTAGTGAACTGAGGTATCTGGGGTTGAACAAGCTGTATATACATGAGAATACATATCATCCCTGGAGGTGTCTTCAAATGACTGCAAGAAGGAGACCGTGCTCATGATATTCACAACACATACAATTCGTTATTAGTGGAAATAGAGTCATGGATAGGCATAGATCTCTGCGCATGCAAGTCATGCCGTGCAGCTCATTTAGTGGACGTTACAAAAAAGGCTACTCATTTGTCAGTGGCCAACAGGCCAAAAGTTGCCAACCCTGCCCTGAACTGGCAGCACAGAATGTTTTCTACCGTACAGTCATAACAGTTTCAGGGCATACACAGACCTTAGAGAAAACCCTTGTATTTGCACAAAACATTATACCTACATAGACAAGCACATTAGCTCTATTTATATATTGTCATAGAGAACAGCAGTACCAGGTAGGACATTAAAAACAAACAACAACTTCAAAGCGACAGACTGTGAAAAGAAAAGTGTAACTAGAAAAGCAAGTACAGTGTAACCAGAACAAACTGGGAAGTTTAGGAGAGGAGGGAGGGGGCAGATAAAAAACAAACATTCTTCATATAATAAATTATGATTTGCACACAAATAACAGAACAGCCCGTATCACACCTTATCTGAACGCAATGTGGGTACACTCACCAACTCCCTTTCTCCCAGGGAAAAGCTTGGCCACTGATGGTTTCATTTTAATGAGAGATGCTAGGATTTACTTCGGACATCTCTAGTGAGAAAATATGAGGTAGCCTTGGAAAGTAATGTACTAACGCTGAATGTAAGGATACTCCAATGAAACAGCATAGGGTTACCTCAGTGAGAAATATTTGAAAGCGCAGTTTCCCTGTGGTAAGAAAAATGGAAGTTCTCTATGGATGTTTGAGGGTACCTCTGTGAGAGAAACTAATGTGCCCTTTGGAATGTGAAGTTTCTACAGGGAAGGAAGTTTAGGTTTACTTTGTATTTCCATATTAACTTGATGTTCTCTTTAAGAGTTGTGGATTTTTTTTACATCTGTGAGCAACGTCAGTAAGAGAAACCAAGATTCACTTTGGAAATCAAGGTCTTTGGATTCACTTTGAAAATGACCAGTGTCAATAATGTGTGAATTTTAGGAATTCAAAGTATATTTAAACAATTATGCCAAAAAAAAAAAAAATTATCCAAGACAGATATATTTTCAATTCAGCTGATATTGGCCTAAAAAGTAAAATATTTTAATTTGTGTATAGTTGACACCGTAATGAATATTCCTGTTGGCGAGCATTCAAGACCTTAGGTCTAGGGGTTGTGATTCAATCTGTAAATCAGAGTTGAAGTAAATCCACTGTTGAAGTCAGGGTGGTCTGATTGGTTGTAATCTGGGTTACAGGAACTTGGGGTTCATTCAGCAATTTTAAATTAGTTAGTCTAGGAGCTGGGGTTACTTTGAAGTCTGGCATTCCCTTAATGTCTTTGGTGAGGGGCCTCTTCTGTATGCGAGTCATACGTTCTCTCTGACAAAGATGTCAGAGAATATTGGGTTTATTCTAAAAGTATGGGTAATCCTCTGCGACTTAATTCATGAGAATTGGACGGTCACTTTGGGAACTTAAGGAAGCTTCAGTGGCAGGAGTCTATGTCTTTAGTCAGAAAACGGTTCCATCTTGGGAGAAGAAGGTTAATTTCTAAATGTGGGGATTCTCTCTGTGGCTGAAGTTTGTGAGCTATCCTGTCTGGGAGTTTGGCAGAGCCTGAAGTCAGTGGATTCTCCTTTCTGGAAGTTGAGGGTTCTCACAGTGCGTAACTTCAAATCAGTCTTGCCTTCACATGTCAGAAAGTTACGGTTACTTCAGTCTGGGGGGGGATTCATTTTAGAATTCAGTGGGGGTTTTTTTTTTCCCATTTACGAGACATTTGGATTCACTCTGCATTCTATAAGTTATGGTTTGTGTCAGTTACAGGAGTTTATGGTTCACTCAAGAAGTTGGGGTTTCTCTAAGTCACAAAAATTTAGGGTTCACTCTAGAAGCCAGGATGGGAATTAGGGGATAACTCTGTAAATTGTGGGTTCCTATCAATTAAAATAGTTGAGGTTCACTCTGTTAGTCTATTACAGTAGTTGGGGTTCTCTGTTAGTCTATTCGTTACAGTAGTTGGGGTTCACTCTGCTAGTCTATTACAGTAGTTGGGGTTCTCTGTTAGTCTATTAGTTACAGTAGTTGAGGTTCACTGTTAGTCTATTAGTTACAGTAGTTGGTGTTCACTCTGCTAGTCTATTACAGTGGTTATGGTTCACTCTCTGTTACATTGGTTATGGTTCACTCTCTGTTGCAGTGGTTATGGTTCACTCTCTGTTGCAGTGGTTATGGTTCACTCTCTGTTGCAGTGGTTATGGTTCACTCTCTGTTGCAGTGGTTATGGTTCACTCTGCTATTCTATTACAGTGGTTATGGTTCACTCTGTTATTCTATTACAGTGGTTACGGTTCACTCTGTTAGTTACAGTGGTTACGGTTCACTCTGTTAGTTACAGTGGTTACGGTTCACTTTGTTAGTTACAGTGGTTACGGTTCACTCTGTTAGTCTATTACAGTGGTTACGGTTCAATTTGTTAGTTACAGTGGTTACGGTTCACTCTGTTAGTTACAGTGGTTACGGTTCACTCTGTTAGTCTATTACAGTGGTTATGGTTCACTCTGTTAGTCTATTACAGTGGTTATGGTTCACTCTGTTAGTCTATTACAGTGGTTATGGTTCACTCTGTTAGTTACAGTGGTTATGGTTCACTCTGTTAGTCTGTTACAGTGGCTATGGTTCACTCTGTTAGTTACAGTAGTTATGGTTCACTCTGTTAGTTACAGTAGTTATGGTTCACTCTGTTAGTTACAGTAGTTATGGTTCACTCTGTTAGTCTGTTACAGTGGTTATGGTTCACTCTGTTACAGTGGTTATGGTTCACTCTGTTAGTCTGTTACAGTGGTTATGGTTCACTTTGTTAGTCTGTTACAGTGGTTATGGTTCACTCTGTTAGTTACAGTGGTTATGGTTCACTCTAGTAATCGGGGTGTTCTGTCTGGGCTCAGTGTTTCTCCAGTTTGGGGGAGTTGCAGTTTAACCTGGCAGACATGGGGTTCCCCTGTTGTGTAAGTTGGGGTTCAGTGTGGAAGTTGTCCTGTCTGGCAGTCAGTGTTTACCTGGGTTAGTAGTTGTTGCGCTCTCGGGGTCTCCGGTCAGCAGTCTCGGGGTCCCATGTCCCGGTCACAGACTATACGGAGCTGGGGGGAGCTGGGCGCTACCACCAGTAAACATCAATACAGAGCGGGGAGGATCTGTCCCGACAGACGGAAGAGTTACAAGTCCCACCCCCTCCGCGGATAGGACCTCCCCCACACAGAACTCACCGTTTCCACGCCCACCTTCAGCGCGCCTACGTCACTGGCCCAGACCGCTTCATAACCTCCCGAGCCAGCCCCCTGTCAAGCGTTCTTGTACACGCCCCCTCCGTGTACGCCTCTAAGCCCGCCCCCTCCGTGAACGTCAGTCAGCTCACCTTCTCCGCACACGTCTCATAGCCCCGCCCCCTCACTGCCGAAACAAGCCCCGCCCTCCAACACGCTCTGCTGGAGACATGACGTCACTTTGATATATTGAGTTGCCAGGTTTTCACTAAAGCGCAACCATTTTACACCAGGAGCTCTGAACACAGAGACATACAGACACAGTGACATATACTGGCACACAGGGACACACAGAGAAATAAAGACACAGGGACATATAGTGACACACAATTCACAGATTTTACTATTAACATGACGTAAAGTCATGATTTTATTAACGACACGGAGGCGAGTATTATGCTGCACTCTTTCTTTATTTTCCCTCAGCAGCAAAGAACATTTTTTTCAAACATAACCAGTAGTAACAGTAAACAGTCTGAGGTGAGTATCTTCTTAGCAACAGGAACAGCCAATCGGATTCTGCTCTCCAGCATAATAGGCTCTGTCAACCAATCCAATGCCTCTTTCTTTGCGATCCCGAAGCAGTATAATCATCCAACCGAAAGAAAGAAGGGACCGTGTAACAAGGGGTATCCCCAACGATCTGAAGTAGGTTAGGCTGTAAGACAAGGAGAAATATGGTAAGATCCTAGTACCAAACTGGGTGTACGCATAAATCGTAATCGTCATAATACAATTTTAATTCTCTTAAGCCATTGTGGTTAAGTGAAGTATTGTCAAGCGTAACCTGCAGAAAATTCCATGACTAATAGGACTTACCGTGAAATTAACTTACCCATATTCCATCCTTCCATGGGATGGGCGGGAGGGATAATACTCGCCTCCGTGTCGTTAATAAAATCGTGACTTTACGTCATGTTAATAGACACAGAGGCTCCTATTATGCTGGATTAAAACTAGAGATTACCGTTCCCGCAAAGTTACATAGTTACATACCTGAAAAGAGACTTGCGTCCATCAAGTTCAGCCTACCTCACATTTGTTTTTTGCTGTTGATCCAAAAGAAGGCAAAAAAACCCAGTTTGAAGCACAATTTTGCAACAAGCTAGGAAAAAAAATTCCTTCTTGACCCCAGAATGGCAGTCAGATTTATCTACATTGAAAGATTATATCCTTAAATATTCTGTTCTTGCAAGTATGCATCTAGTAGCTGTTTGAACATCTGTATGGACTCTGATAAAACCACTTCTTCAGGCAGAGAATTCCACATCCTGATTGTTCTTACAGTAAAAAAACCTTTCCTTTGCCTTAGACAAAATCTTCTTTCTTCCAGTCTAAACACATGGCCTCGTGTCCTATGTAAAGTCCGGTTTGTGAATAGATTTCCACACAATGGTTTGTATTGGCCCCAAATATATTTGTATAATGTTATCATATCCCCTCTCAGGCGACGTTTTTCTAAACTAAATAGGTTTAAATTTGTTAACCTTTCTTCATAGCCGATATGTTCCATTCCTTTTTATTAATTTTGTAGCCCGCCTCTGCACTTTTTCTAGTGCCATAATATCCTTCTTTAGAACAGGTGCCCAAAATTGCACAGCATATTCAATATGGGGTCTTACCAGTGATTTATAAAGAGGCAAAATTATATTCTCGTCCCGAGAATGAATGCCCTTTTTCATGCATGACAATACCTTACTGGCCTTGGCCACTGCTGATTGACATTGCACATTGTTGCATAGTTTGTTGTCTATAACAATTCCCAAGTCCTTTTCGTGTGTTGTTATCCCTAATTCGCTTTCATTAAGGGTATACGTTGCATGTGTATTCTTTACGCCGAAGTGCATAACTTTGCATTTTTCAACATTAAATTTCATCTGCCATTTGAGTGCCCAGTCCCCCAGTCTATCTAAATCCATCTGCAGCAAAGTAATAGCTTGCTCACATTGTATTGTTTTACAAAGTTTTGTGTCATTTGCAAACACTGAAACATGACTTTCAATGCGGTCTTCAAGATCATTTATAAACATGTTAAATAGAAGGGGTCCCAGAACAGACCCCTGAGGGACACCACTTGCCACCTCTGTCCAGCTTGAAAATGTACCATTAATGACAACTCTTTGTACTCTGTTTTTAAGCCAAGTTCTACCCAAGAACAAGCATTTTCATCTAGACCGATTTCCTTGAGTTTGAAAACTAATCTATTTGTGTGGAACTGTATCAAATGCCTTGGCAAAATCCAAATAGATCACATCCACGGCAACACCCTGATCTATACTTCTACTTACTTCTTCGTAGAACGCAATCAAGTTAGTTTGATATGACTGTGCTTCATAAAACCATGCTGATTTTTGCTGATAACCATGTTCTTCTCAAGGAATTCTTGAATATTATCCCTTAATAACCTTTCAAATATTTTACCAGCCACAGAAGCTAAGCTCACAGGTCTATAATTTCCAGGCAAAGATTTTGAACCCTTTTTGAATATAGGAACCACATCTGCCTTCCTCCAATCCTCCGGAACACTTCCTGAAAGAAAAGAATCTTGAAAGATTAAAAACAGAGGTTCAAACAAGCGAGTATCAACAGGGCCCCCAAGACAGGTCCGAAAATACCTGATACACTTTGTCGTGCCTAGACCAACTTGGATCAAACCCAAATCACTATACAATGTTAGCCATTCACTATATATGTACTGTAATATTTGATTGTGTCTATACAATGTTACCCCCTCCCCTTCTTCCTTTCTGTATCCCCCTTTTTTTTTGTCGCTGTCGCGACACCACAAAAAACTAATAAAAATTAAGATATTGGAAAAATTAAGATATTGGAAAAAAAAACAGAGGTTCACTTATTTCTACACTTAGTTCCTTAAGTAGACGTGGATGGATACCGTCAGGCCCTGGAGCTTTGTTTATATTAACTTTCTTTAGTTGCTGCAGCACCTTGTCTTGAGTTAACCAATTACAATTATTCTGCAAGTTTTTAGTTGCAATCATTTGCACATCTATTGCCATGGGTTCTTCCTTAATATATACGGAGGAGAAATAGTTATTTAAAATTCCTGCCTTTTCTTGGTCTTCATTAACTAACACCCCTGTTTCAGTTTTTAGTGTGCCTACACTTTCATTTTGTTTTTTTTTAGAATTTATGTACTTAAAAAATGCTTTGGGGTTGGTTTTGCTCTCTTTAGCTATCATTATTTAATTTTGAAGTTTAGCAAGTCTAATTGCCTTTTTGCACGCATTATTTGCTTCCTTATATCTTTTATAAGATGCAACTGATTTGTCCGATTTAACAAGTTTAAAAACCTAATTCCCGGGGGGCGTGGCTTGACCGGGAACCGAGCTGGACGTGCAAGCCTAGAGCTCCTCGCTGAACCCCTGTTCCAAATGCTTACAAACGCAAAAAACCCACGAAAAACCCACCCATCCCGACTCCTAACTCACCATGGACAAGCGCCTGCCGAGAAAACCGGCCAAAAAACACGCAGACACGGCCACCACGGCCACCACGGTACCTGAACTTTTCGCGGCCTCCCGCACGCCGTGCCAGGACACACAAGATGGCGGCGGATACAGCCTGCGAGCCCCTGGCTCACCAGCAAACTCGAGCCCACCTCAGACCCAAGGCTCAACCGCATCAGAAACAGCCCACATACTGACAGAGCTGGCAGCGGTAAAAAACGACCTCGCCCGTGAGATCGATAGGAGCTCTAAGGCAGTGATGTCAGAAATCCACAAGCTGGGGGAGCGTACTGCCGACCTGGAGCAACGCGTGGAAACGACCGCGGTGGCCCACAACACGGTGGCCGCACATGTGAACACACTCACCGCCAGACTAGAAGCCTCGGAGGCGGCGCTCGAGGACCTGGCAAATAGGTCGCGCCGCAATAATATCCGCGTGCGCGGCCTACCAGAGCAACAGGACGAAGGCCCAATCGCCCCCATGCTCCTCGCACTCCTACGACCTTTCTCACCAGAGATACCGGACGAGCAGTGGCACATTGATCGGGCCCACAGGGCCTTGCGCGCCCGGAGAGACGACAACACAAGACCCAGGGACATCATAGTCCGCTTTCTCCACTTCCAGACGAAGGAAGCGGTGATGAGGAAAGCTAGAGAAAGCCCCCTAAAATACAAGAATGTTGAAATCTCCCTTTTCCAAGACTTGGCCCCCATCACCCTCCAACACAGAAGGGAGTGGAAGCCAGTCACAGAGCTTCTCAAGACCAACGCAATAAGGTACGCCTGGGGACATCCCTTTAAATTACTGGTCTTTAAGCATGGCAGACCCCATATCCTCACACCAGGCACGGACCCCATACCCTTCCTTCGCGCATTGGGCATCTCAATACCAGAGAACTTCTCGCTGCCAAACACCGCTCTCCCGGCCCTACAACCCCTACCGCGCGATTGGTACACCGCCGCGGAGTAAACAGTCGGCAGACGGACACCCACAACCAAGGCAGAACCAACCTCCCAGGAACGAGTACACCAGACCCCATCCGTCAACACCACAACACCCTACCCACCCCTCAGCACCCACCAGAAACAGACCTCCAGGCAACAGAACAACGGAGACTCTCCACCCACTGGGCGGAATGAAACGGCAACACCCAGGGACGATGCCCCTCTCTATGATGGACTCCTGCTCCGAAGTTACCCCTGCTGCATGCACAGCTCAATGGACCACAACCAACACATGATCCAGGAGCATCAAGGACCTCCACTGCCCACACGACATCCATCCCGTCAACAGCATCAACGATAACCCACACTATGGACTTGTCCAGAGACTATTGCTATCATCTTGACACCACAGCAAGTACCAGTCCAAAGATATCGCACCTTAGTCACCAGCTGGAAATGTAAAGTATATATGTGACACTTATGTGAAGTAACATAACAGCCACCCAGGGCACACACACCACGACAAATACAACTCACTGCTCTAGACATCAACTCGCTACACAACCATACCACACAGAGACCAAGCTCCACGACAGGGACCACACCACACGCAGAGAAAGCACACACCTAGACAACACGAATTCACTGGCCGTGGCGGGGGGGAGGGCGGGGGATGGGTGCTGGGCTGGGGGGGCGTGGGGCTGGGTGCGGGACACTGGAATTTCGGGGCACAGGGACAACCTAAGGAGGATGATATAATCGTAAAGGTTGAGGATGCAGCTTTGATATGTATTGTTATGTGATGTTCTGTACTCACCTGCCCCCCCTATACTCCCCACCCACCCCATGCCCTCATAGGTCTTGGACGAAGGTAGAGGCGCAACGTTCACATCCCCAATCCCACACCCACACAGTGACCCAAAGGAACGGAGGTGGGAGTCAACCCCACACCCCACTGCACAAATACACCAGTCAAACCGCAATGAATTACTACAGCCACCCGACCGTCCAGCAGGACAAAAAACGCTCACCGAAACCTCTAGATTATGGCTCTTAAGGTATCCTCGCTCAATGTTAAAGGCCTCAACGCCCCTCGCAAGCGAAGAACACTGTTTAGGGAGCTAAAAAGATTAAACCCTGACATAGCTTTCATACAGGAGACACACCTGTCTCGGTCCGCCCAGGTCTCCCTCTGAGACAACACATACCGCTTGGCCGCAGAGGCACGAACCTTCCGTAAACAGAACGGAGTGGCGATTCTTACACACAAACGATGCCCAATTCATATAGCCCGAGTGACTTCAGACCCAGACAGTAGATACGTCCTAGACACAGGCAGGATTCATTCCCAACCTATCCACTTAATCAACATCTATGCCCCCAACACACTTACACCCCAATTCTGGAACCAGATGTCAGACGTAGTCCTTTCGCTCCCCACCGGGATAATCCTCCTGGGAGGAGACCTAAACGCAACCCCAGCTCCAGCAATAGACAGAAGCGCACGCCCAGGACTATTTAGGTCTCATGGCATGGGCGCACAAGACAAACAATTACACCACTTTATCCGTAAGACAGGCCTCATTGACGCATGGAGGGCTCAACACCCCTCTGTTAAGGACTACACGTATTACTCGCCGCCCCACGACACATACTCACGCATAGACATGTTCTTAACCAATCATGCAGGCTACGCAAAAACACAAAAAACGGAGATAGGAACCATCGCATGGTCAGACCACGCGGACATCGCGATCCATCTCCAAGGCATCCAATGCCCTACCCCATGGACGTGGAGGCTAAACACATCCCTCCTTAAGGACCCCCAAGTCGTAGACGACATACAGAAACAGCTAACCACATACTTTGCAGAAAACCTAACACCAGAACTCCCCATGACCAAGGTATGGGCGGCCCACAAAGCAGTGATTCGAGGCTCCCTTAGCAACCTACAAAAAGAAACAAAAAACGCAGAAACTTACCCAACTGTTAGAAACCCTCCGCACAGCGGAGCAACGTCACAAAACCGACCCGACCCCCCACACATTACAACTCCTCCAAACCACCCGCATCAATCTCAGACAACTGCTCATAGACGACACAGCCCGAGCACTCACTTGGACGAAAAGAACATACTATGACAAATCCAATAAAATGGACACACTATTAGCCCGCACACTAAGACCCAGAACCCAACACCCACATATCACCAAGATAAGAGCCCTAGACGGCTCACTGAAAACATCCCCAACTGAAATAGCACAAACTTTCTCAACCTTTTATACAACGCTATACAACCATTCCCCCCAAGATGACACAACAATCACAGCGACGAAACAGAAAACAACTGACTTCCTCACCCAACTAAACTTACCAAAACTACACACTGCAGCCATAACGGAACTAGCAGCACCAATCACTAAAGATGAAATCAACATAGCTATCTCCTCTCTTAAAAGCAATAAAGCCCCTGGCCCAGACGGTTTTGAAGGCAGCTACTACAAAACCTTTAGAGAAACACTCATCCCACATTTAGAATCCTTATTCCAAGAACTAATGACGGGAACCCCGCCAGACAGGGACGTGACACGGGCAAACATTATTCTGCTACCAAAACCGGGCAAAGACCACACCCAACCAGAAGCATATCGACCTATCTCACTCATAAACCACGACAGCAAAATCTTTGCCAAAATCTTAGCAGGAAGACTGAACCCATACCTGACAAACCTAGTCCACGCCGACCAAGTAGGATTCATAACTGGACGACAACTATTCGAAAACACGAGACGTAACATAGACATAATATGGATGCTAGCCAACAAAAAAACACCATCCCTAGCGCTTTCCCTCGATGCTGAGAAAGCATTTGACTGCGTGAAATGGCCCTACATGTTCACCCTCTTAGAATATCTGAACATTCCCCCCCATATATAACAGCTATTCGCGCACTATACACATCCGTTTCAGCACAAATAAAGATAATCGGGACGACTAGCCCATCATTTAACATAACCAACGGTACCCGTCAGGGATGCCCCCTATCCCCCCTACTCTTTGTGCTGACACTTGAACCACTCCTCCAAGCCATAAGGGAACACCCACAAATCAAAGGGGTCAAAATAGATGACCAAGAATTCCTAGTCTCGGGATACGCAGATGACGTCCTGCTGACCTTAACTGAACCCATTCCCACGCTGCAGGCATTGCTCCCACTCCTGACTAAATACGGTGAGATCTCAGGATACAAAGTTAATGGAGGAAAAATCCAGCGCACTCCCAATAAACCTCACACGGATGGACACAAACAAAATTACCTCAGACTACCACATACGTGTTACCCCAACCTCCCTCACATACCTGGGTATCAAATTACCGGCAGACACCGACGAGCTCCACAGGCTGAACTACACACCCATGATAGACAAACTCATCTCGGACTTGGAGACCTGGGCGGACAAACCCATATCCTGGATAGGGAGAATACACTCAATCAAGATGAACGTCCTGCCCAGAATTCTGTTCCTCTTTCAGGCCATACCCATCCCTATCACAAAACACAATCTCATCCCTCTGCAGCGGGCGATAGACAGAATTATTTGGCAGGATAAGAGGCACAGAGTAGCCCGCAACATACTGTATCGCCCCAGAACGAGAGGAGGCCTGGGTCTACCCCACCTACATTTCTACTATATAGCCACGCAGATGGCACAAATAGCGGCTTCTGCGCAAGCCACATAACTGCATACTCCCCCAGAAACTAGAAGGTGGGTAGATCTAGAATCAGCATTAATGAGATCCGACCTCCCACAATTCTACATCTGGACACCAAAAGAGCACAGAGCGCTACCGAGAACGGCGTGCCCAGCCATCACCAACTCAATCCAATTATGGGACACCTACGCCCTCAAATACGACCTAACCACTACGACCTCCCCTCTCACACCCATATACCGAAACAAGGCTTTCACACCAGGTATGCGACCCTGGGACTTTCTTCTTTCTTGGTTAATTCCTACCTTTCACTTCCCTTTTCCCTAATACAAGGCCGGCCTACCGGTAACCCGACCTATAAGTTCAACACACCAAAGCCACTGCAACGTGATGGCAACTTAAATGTCCAGTTAAGAGTTACTACTTAAGTTATATGTTTTTTAAGTGTTGTTCTTACTGTATTGTTGAAAAACAATGACAGACAGGTGTTTATCACAAACGATGTAACAGGAATAACGTGTAAACTGCCTGAATGATACTGCGGCTTCTGCGCAAGCCACATAACTGCATTGCACAATTATATCTGTCATTGACAAAATAAAGAATTATAAAAAAAAAAAAAAAAACCTAATTCCCTTTGCTGAGGTACTAGTCCCTCTGTCCCAATTTATATCCGGGTAATTAAAATCTCCAATAATTAAAGCGTTACCCAGATTTGTAGCTTTCTCAATTTGCTCAAACAGCTGTTGTTCCTCATCAATATTAACATTAGGTGGTTTATAACATATCCCAACCAATAGTTGGTTTCCCTTCTTTTCCCCCAAGCAGATATTTACCCATAAAGCTTCCACATTATCCTCCTCGCATTCCATTTGCTTAACATTTGGCTTTAAATCATGGTTGACATACAAACATACCCCACCACCCTTCTTGTTTTTCCTATCCTTCCTAAATAACATGTACCCATTTAAGTTAGCTGCCCAGTCATGTGTCTCATCCCACCATGTTTCAGTTATGCCTATTATATCATATTGTTTAGTGTATGCTAATGCCTCTAGTTCCCCCATTTTGTTATTTAGGCTCCTTGCATTAGTAAGCATACATTTAATATTATGTGTCACTTGTATATTTTGTGAATTTTCAACATTACACAGCTTCTCTGTTCTGAGCTTGCCCCTCCCCCTGTCTCCACCCCCCTTATACTGTGCTAAAGCCCATCTCCTTTCTGTCCTATCTCCATTTTGTAGATTGCTATGACCCTCCCCCCCCTACTACTAGTTTAAAATCTCCTCCAACCTTCTAGCCATCCTATCCCCCAGCACTGCAGACCCTCTCCCGTTTAGGTGCAATCCATCACCACTATAAAGGTTGTACCCAATCGCAAAGTCGGCCCAGTGCTCTAAAAACCCAAAACCCTCCTTCCTGCACCAAGACTTAAGCCACGCATTGACCTCTCTAATCTCCCGCTGCCTTTCCACTGTAGCGCGTGGCACAGGTAATATCTCAGAGAATACCACCTTGGAGGTCCTTTTCTTAAGTTTGCTACCTAATTCCCTGAAATCATTCTTTAGGACCTTCCATCTTCCTCTTACTTTGTCATTGGTACCAACATGGACCATGACCGCTGGGTCATCCCCAGCCCCTCCCAATAATCCATCCACTCTGTCAGCAACATGCCGGACCCGAGCACCCGGGAGAGAGCAAACTGTCCGGTTGAGCCGATCAGAGCGGCAGATTGCCCTATCTGCTCTCCTAATGATACAGTCCCCTACCACCACAACCTGTCTTGCCTTCCTTACATTTTGATCCCCACCCGTACTAGGGGGGCTGTTAGCTTGGCTGTTAGAAGTAACAGCTTCCTCTAATACAGCTACTCCTGAGCTGATGCTCCCAACATCTTCCCTCAAACGGGCAAATCTGCTAGGTTGCACCAAATCAGGACTAGCTAGCCCTTTCCTCTTCCCTCCCCCCTGCTTCCTCGCCCCACTGTCACCCAGCTACATGCCTGTTCCCCATCTGTCTTATCTCCTCCCTCTCCACTACCTGTCCCCACTAAACTCTGCTCAGTGAGCAGACTCCTCTCAAGATTGTCAATCTCCCTCAAAGTTACGATTTGCTTTTCGAGATCTCCAATCTGAGCTTCCAGAGAAGCCACTCGCACACAACCATCACAGAGGTATGGACCCTGGATGGGTACATCCAGGCATCCATACATGGAACAAGATGTGCATTGAGTCAAACCAGCAATCTTGCTAACACTCATTTCCCCAGAAACAGAAAATGAAAACAATTACCTTGTTAGTTTCAACTCCTGGTTTTCTAACTCCTACTTGAAAGAGTCTACTTAATAGAGGCTGCTTTCAAGTCATGTGAGCAAGCTCAGTGAGTTAGGGGTGTGCCTTTGTGGGGAAACAATCCCACACAGGTGCAATTAATGAACACTCCCCCAATCAATCAAGCAGCAGCACAAAAAAGGGGGGAAAACCAGAACACAGAAAAAAAAAAGTGTTGAATGGGTTTAAAGTAGAAGTCATGAAAGGTAGATTCTGAGGACCAATCGGCTGCCTTCAAAATGTCTTCAAGATGACAACCAATCGAGGAGGCCCTGGAAGCCATCGCTCCTCGTATTGAGTGAGGTGTCAATGCCCGCTAGGGACATAATCCATTTAACCCATCGAGCCAGAGTAGGAGTAGACACTGTTCGTGTTTCATCATGTCTCGCAGTGTAGAGGTGCGAAGTTCATAAGTTTGTAAGCATTTGACCGGGCATAGAAGCGGTATGACACTTTCTTTGATGACTTCTTTGTTCTGCGAGATATATCGAAAGTAACCCCTTCCGGGGTGTAGGAGTGTGCGGTAATGTCCAGGGCTCTGACATCGGAGACCCTCTTCCAGGATATGAGGCAGAGGAGTATAACCAACTTGGCCGACAGTTGTTTCAGGGATAGGAATGCGTTGTCTGGCCATGATTCGAGGAAATTGAGGATGATGGACACATCTCATAATACCGAGTATCGTGGTAGTGGGGGACGTGCAAATTTGATGCCACATAGGAGTCTACATATCAGCGGGTGGCGTCCTATCGGGGCTCCATCTATCCCTTGGTGTGAAGCCGAAATGGCCGATCGGTACAGGTTCACTGTACGATAGGCTTTGCCGTCCTCAAACAATGAAGTTAGGAATTGGAGGATTCCAGTCAAAGGAACTGATATGGGATCCAAATCTCGTTCCAGGCACCAATCACGACATCTGCTCCATGAAGACTTATAAGCCTGTCTCGTGCCGGGCGCCCAAACGCTCTCGAGAAGGTGGAGAGTTGATTCCAAAACTCCCTCGATTGCCCAAGGTCCCCTGAAATTAGCCACACTGATAGATTCAGTAGGCCTTGTTGTACCAGGGGGTGAGGAGATCCGCCCGGGTCCTGAAGCAGGTACTCGAAGTGCGGGAGAATGCGAGGTATGTCTATCGTCATCTCTAAGAGTGGGGGAAACCATGGTTGGGAGGGCCATAACGATGCCACAAACACCAGGGTTCCCGTCTGTTGTCATAACTGCAGTAGGCAGGGGGGAATCAGTGCGAACGGTGGAAAGGCATAATTCCTTGTGGACGACCAATCTTGGGAGAACGCATCTGTTGCCAGTGCTGCTGGGTCTGGTCTCCAGCTGAAAAATCTGGGAAGTTGAGTATTCAAGCGGGAGGCGAAAAGATCTTTGTCCATGGGGCCCCATAACGACTGGATATCTCGGAAGACCCTGGGATCCAGTTGCCAATCGCTGGGATCCCAGAGGTGTCGTGAGTACCAATCTGCCGTGGTGTTGCAGAGCCCCGGAATATATTCCGCTGTGACAGAAATGCCCTGAGTCAGGCAGAACTGCCAAAAATCTTCAGAAGGATAGAGCATTGTGCTTGAGTTGGTGAGAAGCTGCGGATAGCAAAGGATCCTGCCAGGAGTTCCAGGCAATTGATGTGGAGTGTAGATTCGTTGTCGGACCATCTGCCACCTGTAGATATGTCTCCACAGCGAGCACCCCAACCGTGCAAACTCGTGTCGGATTCTATTACGAGATCTGGTGTGGTGCCGAAAATGGCGTGACCATTCCAGGCTTCCATATAGGAAAGCCACCATGTTAGTTCGTCTTTCGCTTCCGAGTGATCATATCTGTGTAGGAGACCCCGTCTCTCAAGTGGGAAGCTTGTAGACGTTGTAATGCTCGGTAATGGAGAGGGCCCGGAAAGATGGCTTGTATGGAGGCCGCCAGGAGACCAATCACTCTCGCCAACTGTTTAAGGGTAAGCTGGGGAGTCGCCAGAGTGCATTTGATTTCCTTTTTTATATTGTTCAGTTTCGTCATTGGAAGATGTAGGGTCTGAAACGTGGAGTCCACGATGGAGTCTATGTGTTGTGTGGGAGCCAAAATTTATTTTTCCCAATTGATGAGGAAGCCTAATTTCTGTAATAGAGTCTGAGTCCAGTTTAGATGGGTCTTGGCAAGTTGGCTGGACTGACCCATGATGAGGATGTCGTCCAGGTAAATTATGAGACGTACTCCTCGACTCCGCAATAGAGCTATCACGGGCTTCATGAGTTTGGTGAAGCACCACGGGGCTGAGGATAGTCCGAATGGGAGGCAAGTGAATCTCCACTTCCTTGCCATATGAATTGCAGGAAGTCTTGGTGTTGCGGGGTAATCGGCACTGTAAGATAAGCGTCTTTTAGATCTAACTTCACCATCCAGTCTGATGGTTGGAGAAGATCTCTTAGGCAATGTATTCCTTCCATCTTGAAGTGGTTGTAGGAGACGTAAGTGTTGAGTTGTTTCAAATTGATCACTGGGCGGACGCCTCCATTTTTCTTGGCAACCAGGAACAGTTTGCTCACATAGCCTGGTGTGGCCATAGGGATTTCTGAGATGGCTTGTTTGCGTTTCAAATCCGAGACTTCCTTGGTGACAAGGATTTTGTCTTGTAGGGAAAAAGACATTTCCCGCGGTGGGGAGTATTGTACTGGTAGGGACAGGAAATCTATGGTATACCCTTTTACAGTGTTTAATACCCTGGGCAAGAGTCGGTTGAGCTGATTTTTGTGCCTGCATCAGGGCATGCGTAAACGTCTGTGATATCGAGTCAGACATTAGTCCCATGGCCGACATAAGGGCTTTAGTCATAGCCTGTGACATAGTGTTATCTATCAGGGTCTGCAAATCAGCAGAGGTATCAAGCTCAGTGGGGGAACCCGCTGCATTATCAGACACACCTGAAGGTGCCTTAAAACCACTTTGGTTGGGGTTATTAGACCAAGAGGGCGTGGGAGCATCTTTGTCAGAAGGCATAACAAGTATGCTATTGACTGACAGGATTATATTCTAGTAATAAAAGAATAAAAAACCTGTGGGGAACAAAACCTGTGGAGGAGGGTTGAGTAACCCAAAGAAGGAAATTCAAAGTATAGAACAAAATTTAATATTATTAACATTATTATTAATATTATTAGTATTACTATTATTAGTAATTAGTATTACTCACAGATAATCATTAATGATAGGAGAAGAAACAGAGAGCCATCCGACCGCCACTAGCACTAACCCCCAACTCCGAGTTCCGGTCTGTGGGGGGCAGTGCTAGCTTCAGGACGTGGGAAAGGCAATAAAAATGGCCGCCGCGAGTGGCAAAATTCCCGAAAGGGAAGGGAGCAGGAGAATTCGTGTAGATGAACCCCTTGCTAAGGTGCCAATGTATTCCAAGCTAAACTTCCTAATGAGGGGTTCGTGTAAGGGAACGCAAGGTTCCCAGAGCGTTCGCGCAAAAACACCCGAATGAGGGTATCTAAGCCTAAGTATGGAAACAGATGAATGGGTTCACTGAGGAAACCGCGCGCACTCGACTGCAGTAAGATGGCGGTCGGACGGATAACGGGTAGGAAAAAGGCACGAAAGTGCCGTGACAGGTATCAGCGGTTCCTGCAGACGTCCCTGAGCTCAGTTAATTGTACTCTCAGGGGGTCAAGGGAACCAAGAAGGGCAAATACAATAATAAGAAGTATATATATAAAACTGTTAAAACAGGCAGATATGTAAGCACATAATTAAATAGGAAAAATATTAAATAGGAAAAATATTCCCACAGATAGTTAATTAATTCAGATAATATAATAGTATTAAATAACACTAAAACTGAAAATTACAATAATATAACATGTAAAAGAATAAACGATCCCACAGTTAAGAAACCATGGGACCTGATGTTACTTAACTGAGGGAGCAGCAAAGAAAGAGGCATTGGATTGGTTGACAGAGCCTATTATGCTAGAGAGCGGAATCCGATTGGCTGTTCCTGTTGCTAAGAAGATACCCACCTCAGACTGTTTACTGTTACTACTGGTTATGTTTGAAAAAAAAATTCTTTGCTGCTGAGGGAAAATAAAGAAAGAGTGCAGCATAATAGGAGCCTCCGTATCTTAATAAAATCCTTATTGCTCTTTATTCCCAATCTAAGTGAAATACAGTATCTCACAAAAGTGAGTACACCCCTTGCATTTTTGTAAATATTTCATTAAATATTTTCATGTGACAACACTGAAGAAATGACACTCTGCTACAATGTAAAGTAGTAAGTGTAAAGCCTGTATAACAGTGTAAATTTGCTGTCCCCTTCAAAATAACTCAACACACAGCCATTACTGTCTAAACCGTTGGCAACAAAAAAAGAGTACACCCCTAAGTGGAAATGTCCAAATTGGGCCCATTTAGCCATTTTCCCCATCCCCCGTGTCATGTGACTCGTTAGTGTTACAAGCTGTGCTAAATTTGGTGATATAAAAGTATGTGACCTTAAAAATATATATATATAGGTTCACTTTAATATATATATATATATTTTTAAGGTCACATACTTTTATATCATACTGTTTTTTATTGTTTTTTATTTTCTAGAAATAATAGTGTATTTTTATAAGATTACTTGATAATAAATTGCTCCCATTTTTTATCCATCCATTGTATCCTATAAAAGTGATTTAAAGGGGCAGTGTCACCCCAAAATTTGACACTGGGCAAATATACTTAGAGCCGGTTACCAAGGGCTCTAAAAAAGGTGAGCATTTCTCTATTTCTACTCATATGGACAATATTTCGATTCTGGGATGCTACACTTAGTGTGAAATATTTGTATCTTTTATATACCCGGTGGAGAATATCTTCATAAGGAGAGAGGGGTCGTGTGTTCTACCCAAAAGACACAGACGTGCAGAAGTTTAGAGCCTAATACTAGAAAAGGCTCTAACAAATGAGAGTGTACATATTCACTTATTTCATCGATCACTTTATTTAAAGACATATTACACTATCATTTGTATATGTTCTTTTTGTTCTCTTTTTTATGTATGAATTGTATTAAGAGAAGCGAAAAAGGGTAAGAGTTTCGAGAACACACTTACTCAGCACTTATATAGCGCTGCACTCACTTAAAGAACTTTAGATCTGGATGGTGGCAACATCATCCAAATCAATAAGTTCTTTTGCGTTTTGGTGATTGTTTATGTGTGGTGGGCAATTAGGAGTACCCAGAGAGTGTATACAGCAGCTGTACCATATCTTCTTCTATTTCATAATACTAAGCGCCATTTATTCCACACTTTTTCGTGTATATTTAATACTAAGTAAGCTTTACTTAGTATTAGTAAATTTGACTGAAAGACCAATTTAGGTCTTTCAACCTTTTGGCAGATAGCTCCCTAAACCATGGGAATTAGGGAGTTATCTACTAAGAGGCTGCAAGAGAACATATCCGAAGTGTCGAAGTCCCGAACTGAACCGAAGTCCCGAATTTCGGAATGCTGAACTGAAGTCCTGAATTTCGGAATGTCGAACCGAACCGAATATTTTGCCCATGCACATCCCTAGAGATAAGTAAGTCCATGATCGGCGCGGCCGCACATAGGCAGGGCGGTCGCACCGAAAAAGGGAATTATAACTTACCTGGATCGCGTCGGAGTGCCGCCAGATCCTTCAAAAAGACGGGTCCCGGCTGGTGCAGCATTCTAAGGGACACCGTCCGCTGCGGTCCCATTCTTAAAGTTAAAGGGCGTGCTGCCCACATTAAAGATGGCGCCGGCATGCGTGTGAAGTCACGTTATCGACGCACACGCACGTGTTGGGGTCAAAGGCCGTGTAATAACCAATCACAGCACTGAGAGTCATATTTAAACCCTGTTATGCCTTTTCTCAGTGCCCTGTCGTGGTTTCCACTTGTTGGTTGTCAGAGAGCGCGTTCTTGGTTATATTTTCTGGCTTTTGACTTTGGCTTGTTTTTGACTTTCCCTACTTCTGGTATACTGACCCTTGGCTAGTTTATTCGTATTGTCTCATTCTGTGTCCCCGACCTTGGCTTGTAAAATTGACCATTCTCTTTTACGTTCAGTCTGGTCATTCTAAGGTCCCTTTATACGTTGTTAGTGTTGATATAGTTTTGCATATCGGGTCACACAGTAATCGTGGCAGAACTCTAGCCTGCAGTTACAGCCCTGAGGCTCGCAAGATCAGAGCATTGCCATGGTAACTGTGGCAACGCTCTGAGCTCGCAAGGAGAGGACCCGGTGGAGCTGCAGGCTAGAGCTCCCACAGATTCTCTCTCCCTCCCCTAACCCATTTCAGTGCCAGTGGGTCTGTGCGCGAGATCTCACACAGCAAGGCGTGGGCCAGAAAGGGAGATTTATAATACATACAAAAATTTAATTACTATATAACATATGTTTTGAGCATGTATCAGCCCATTCTTGTTGCCAGGTGCACACTCCAGAACAATAATATACACTGCCTGGCCAAAAAAAAAAGTCCCCACCAAAAAAAAGGTCACACTCTAATATTTTGTTGGACCGACTTTAGCTTTGATTACGGCACACATTCACTGTGGCATTGTTTCGATAAGCTTCTGCAATGTCACAATATTTATTTCCATCCAGTGTTGCATTAATTTTTCACCAAGATCTTTTATTGATGATGGGAGAGTCGGACCACTGTGCAAAGCCTTCTCCAGCACATCCCAAAGATTTTCAATGGGCTTAAGGTATGGACTATGTGGTGGCCAATCCATGTGTGAAAATGATGTCTCATGCTCACTGAACCACTGTAACGGCACCCCCAGGCATAAAGGGGTTAAACCGCCGTTTAGTAGATCTTCCTTTCCAGAGACACAGGCAAAGCTACTGCAGAACACCAATCCGCTGAACAGGAAACCATATGAATGCTGTAAACAGCCGAATAGGAAAAACCATACAAATAGGTTTACACTCCTAGCAGTCAAACTGGAACAGCATACAATAAATCCCCCCAAGAACGAGACAAGGCTCCGTTTTGAGGGTCAAGCAGGAACAGACAGAGCTGTGGGTTTATTGTTCTTATATACACCTTAGTACCACCCACAGGGTTTTGGAACACAACCAATAAACACATACAATACACTCAGACACTCCCACACAAAATCCTCCCCTCTGACTGTGATACAATTACCTTACACAATGGGTAATGTAATTATCACAAGCAGAGAAATACAATTTTTCCACATTATTCATAACTTGAAAAGTATGCATCACATTCACATAAAATGTGTGAATCTTACATTTTCAGAATCAGCATACTCCAAATACAAACATATGTCAAAATCATCCAAATTGGTCCAGTGGTTCAAAAGATAGATCGTGGTCCTTTGTGACCAAAGGAAGCATGGCTTTTCTACCCAAAACCAGTTCCACAGAGTCTTCTATCCTGGAGATAATTGGGAAGTAATCCAATTATCTCCAAGGACAGAGGCAAAACTCCATTGAACACGTGGCAGCAAAAGACAATAAAACACATAAAAACATATAACTGTGCAGCCATTGCACAAAACAGGTACATTCAACATATCCCCAGATAGCTCAGATCTGAGCGCACATTATTACTGAATGGCGCTCAGAGCACACACATACAGTTCAATTGCCATGGAGCCAAAGTCTTTCCCATAGTCTTTCATTATACGAATGGGCTCCATGGCATAGCTATCTGGGGTATCACCGCTCAAACAGGGCAAGCACCGAATGACCCGGCTTTCATGTCTTCGCAGGGGAAAATCAAGCGTTTCAACATGGAGCCATAGTCTAAAGGCAGCAGGTGGGCAACCAGGCTCCTCCAATGCACAGTGGCGATATTGGTCTCGTCACAACCACTCTTTTACAATTTGAGCCAGATGAATCCTGGCATTGTCATCTTGGAATAGGGGAGAAAAAAACTGGTCATTCAGTATAAATCAGCTGACATCATTCTTTGGGCACATAATGTTGCTGAACCTGGACCTGGCCAACTGCAGCAACCCCAGATCATAGCACTGCCCCACAGGCTTGTACAGTTGGCACGAGGCATGATGGGTGTATTACTTCATCTTCCATCACTCAGGAACAGGATAAATCCCCACTATCCTTCCAGTTTTTAATAATGACAGTTCTTAACCTAATTTTAGTAGTTTCTGCAATCTCCTTAGATGTTTTCTCCGCTTGATGCATGCCAATGATTTGACCCTACTCAAACAGACTAACATCTTTTCCACGACCACGGGGTGTGTCTTTCGACATGGTTGTTTAAGAAATAAGAAGCTACTCATTGCATCAGTTGGGGTTAAATAACTTGTTGCCAGCTAAAAGATAATCGCCCATGCAGTAACTATCCAATAGTAGGATCTTACCTATTTGCTTAGTTAAATCCAGGTGTTGACTTTTATTTTGGCCAGGCAGTGTATAAGTGAAGAGCACACTCATAAGACTTCAAAATAAATAAGCTAACATAATATTTGTGCAACATCATACATTCACCATTTCAGTCCCATTATCAGACTTTCCTTAATATGTCAAGGTAGTTGGACTGAAACAATGATTATATGCAAAAGCTCATGGAATTTTTACAATCTTAACCTGAACTCCAAATCCAACTAGCGCCATATCTCTCTACTACTTGCCTCCAAGAACATTGGGAGTGTTGTTTACACTAGACACACTAGACTGATCAAGACTAGTGTAGACTAGACTTGAATCTAACTATCTGCTTGATCGACATCAGTCTGGGTTTTGCACTCATCACTCTTATATTTCCTTTGGCCAGTACTTTGACCTATTAAAGGTCTGCTAATGAGTCATGTCAACTACTTCTCCAAGAAACTTCTTGAGTGTTCTCTAACACAGAAATTAGCCGTAATTAGCTCATAAACATATTGTAGATTTCAGAGTGATATTTCTCTACCTCCCTCATTCTTTCATGATAATAAAGATGCGTACTTTAAAGGGACACTATAGTCACCTAGACCATTTCATCTCATTGAAGTAGTCAGGGTGCAGAGTCCCTGTCCCCTTAACCCTCACTTGCAGAGAAACTGCAATGTTTATATTGCAGTGTTTAGACTGCCTCTTATGGTTTAACTACATGAAACGACTCTGGATATTTTCAAGCTTTGCTTCATATATATAAATATAACATAATATTTAGGGATAAAAATTTTATTTAGTTGGGTAAAAACTTCTTGATCTAAAGAGATCTGACTGCCAATCTGTGGTCAAAAAGGAATATTTCCTAGTTTGTTGCAAAATTGTAAGCACTTCAAACTTTTTTTTGCCTTCTTTTCGATCAACAACACAAATGTATGTGAGAAAGGCTGAATTTGATGGAGGTGGTCTGAACGGCTACAAGCTATGGGGAGAGGTGGTGAATGGGCTACTACAGCTATGAGGGAAAGAAGGACAAGAGACTATTTACTGTGAGGGGAAGAAAACGGGCTATAAGTTACAAGGGACCAAGAATAAGTTGCTACCTATGGGGAGCAAAGGAGTAGAATGGACTATCTACTGGAGTTTGTAATAGTCTACAGACAGTGTGGGTGTAGGAACACCATTTCAATCACACAGACAGAGCCACTTCATATAAAAGTGCATTCAAGCACATTCACCCTCACACACACAACATACATGCACATATGGCCTTGAATATACACACACACATAGAGACCCTCAATACAAACATGTCCCTGCATAACACACTGATGTCGTGGACATAGTTGAATTAATTAAAAAAACACGCACAAGCATTTAAGGTGGCTTGTAACTTTTAACAACTGGTTAGTAATTCACGACTCACAATTTGGAGGCCTGCACACCTCATACAAACTCATTGCATAATTTACAAATATTAACTTATACATACTGCCATGCTACACAAACCCACATAAAAATTCATCCCTGAGGGGGCGGGGCTAGCACGCAGACTGAGACAGACGCCATTTGCTGGAGCTCCTCTAAACAAACTTGAAATCTGCCCAATATCATCGAAACAAGAGCCCATCCAGCCTCAAAACTCACAAAATCGGACTCTGCTGCCCGAGCTGAAACCGTAGATGCCCTTCTTCCAGCCGCAAAAATAGCCTAAGCGGTGACGCAAAATCAAGGCCTACCACCCTCTCCAGATACCCAGCCTCGCATCACTCTTCTGCGGTGACCTCGTGGAGCAGCCGAGGGCGACCCCATCACACACATCGCTTGACACACTCACCATGGGCAGTAACTCACAGATACCAGGGACAAACAAACCCTGGCCGGAGACCAACCGGAAATAGAACCAGAACCGGACCGCCATGATATGGAGGTACCACAACAACACCCGATGGTAAGAACCGCGCCAGCGGACGCTTTGGATGATTCAGCCCCAACAACTAGGGGAGTCCTGAAGGTCCTATTAGCTGATATTCACAAGCTCCTGGCTGCAGATTCAGCTGTATTTAAAACACAGCTACAGGCCGTAACAGAGAGAGTCAAGGCCACAGAGGAGGTTATAGTGGACACTCTATCTACCATGCAAACCATGCAGGGCTCTATCCACCAATTACAAGCGCACCAGACTACCCTGAACGCAAACCTCATAACCATGGAGTATAGACAACGCCGCGCAAATATCAAAATAAGAGGTATCCCTGCAGCAATATCCGCGGAGGAACTGCCCCACTACACCCGACGCCTCCTGACCTCTTGATATTACCTCCCATGCTGGCCCTGCAAAATCACAGTCGACAGTCTATATCGCATCCCCAATATAACCAACACTAATACCAACCTGAACCGGGATGTCATCCTGCGCTTCCACTCAGTACAAGACAAAATACATGTCATGACAGCTGTGAAGGGCAAAACCCCTCTCCCATTTGAAAATGCCACCTTGAACTTTATCCAGGATCTTACAAAGGCAACGCTGCTGTGGAGGAAAACCTACGCACCGGTAACTTCCCAACTATGCACGGCAGGACTGCCATACAGATGGGGAACCGACAACTCTTTAACAGTCACGAAAGAAGGTACTACGCACGTCCTCCACACCATGGCCGACGCAACTTCTTTCCTGGGAAAATTAGGACTACCCATACCAGCTGACAACTGGGCGCTACCTGAGAGTGCCAGAGACCCAGCCACCATCACCTTTGTCCCACGCACGAGAGGGACACCACCACCTGTGCAGTGACGGAGCAAACAGACACCTATGGCTCCACAACCTAGCCCACTTCAGAAGGCTCCGGCCTTGAGCCACCCAGAGAGGACACTGATACACGAGGGAAACCTCGCACCAGGACACACCAGGACACACCAGGACACAATGCAGTTACTAGAACTACCTTTTACCTTTACATTTACTGTAACTTTTATCTATGTTTACACAACTTATCATTTATAGCAGCTTAACACCCTTATCCTAACTATGAGCAAATCACGCCCCAGACAACACACTGGACACAACACCAGAGAGTCAATGGGGCCACATCCCCCCTTCCACCGCTACCCCCTTGGTTAGGGGTACCACACATACCAGCTTCCGCTACCAACAACAAACTCCATTCCCAGACTCTGCTGACCCTATAGTTAGCACCCGGAAAGGACAAAACAGCTCACGCGCACAGACCACACTGAAAAACCACAACCCAAACTGGGAACCAACACCACTACATAAGCTGATCCGTGTCACTTACCTCACCTCCATGAACCACACACATGACATCCATAATCACACAATGTTTTTCTTTGTTACAAGACTCCTGCATATTTGTCTACATAACTTCTAACATGTTAGCAGTGGCGTACATACCAGGGTCGCAGGGGTCGCGGCTGCGACCGGGCCCGGCCCACCAGGGGGCCCGGCCGCCCCTGCGACCCGGTATGTAGCCACAGGGCCAGCCTCTTCCCCTGAGGGGCCCAGGAGCCGGCCACCCCAGGGCCCCCCGAGGCTGGCCCTGCTGTCACCCGGCAGGTGGGTGGCCGGTCGGGCAGGCGGGCGCGCGAGGGAGCACTCAGTGGTTCCTCTTCAGCTCCCTCGCGCACCGCACTGATACCGGAGCCAGAAGATGATGTCATCTTCCGGCGCCAGCATCCCTACGCGGCGTGCGAGGGAGCTGACGAGGAAGCACTGAGTGCTCCCTCGCGCGCCCGCCTGCACGACCGGCCACCCGCCCAGGAGCCCGGCAGCACCACTGTACCCCAGGGAATCCCCCCAGCACTCCAAAAGGTAAGGAGGCTGGGGGGATTACATTTAAAAAAAAAATGTGTGTTTGTGTGTTAGTGTGTGTGTGTGTGAGTGTGTGTCAGTGAGTGTGTCTGTTATTGGGTGTGTGTCTGCTAGTGAATGTGTTACAGTGTGTGTCTGTTACTGTGTGTGTTTGATGTCTGTTAGTGAGTGTGTGTTTGTCAGTGAAAGTGTATGTTTTGTAAGTGAGTGTGTATGTATGTCAGTAAATGTGTGTGTCTGTTAGCTAGCGTGTATGCGTGTGTCAGCATTTACCTTTCTCCAGCGTCGGACTCCCTTGGTGCTGGGGATCCCTCTGCCTCTCAGCTCCGAATGCACATGCGCGGCAAGAGGCGCGCGCGCGCGCATTTAAACCGCCCATAGGAAAGCATTACTCAATGCTTTCCTATGGACGTTCAGTGTCTTCTCACTGTGATTTTCACAGTGAGAATCGCGGAAGCTCCTCTCGCAACTGTCAATGAGACAGCCACAAGAGGCTGGATTAACCCTCAGTGAAACATAGCCATTTCTCTGAAACTGCTATGTTTTCAGCTGCAGGGTTAAAACTAGAGGGACCTGGCACACAGACCACTTAATTGAGCTGATGTGATCTGGGTGTCTGTAGTGGTCCTTTAAGTGTGTGTGCATACCGCGGTCGCGGGGCCGCCATGTGTTGCGGCCCCGACCAGCGCCGAGTAAGCGCGGGGGGGGGGCCCACGGATCAATTTTCGCACCGGGGCCCGATGGGTCATGTGTACGCCACTGCATGTTAGCCTTGTATACCATTGTTCAATGTTGAAAAAAAATTAAAATGTGAACATTGCGAGACATGCCTAAGCTATATCTGACATGAATAATATACAAATGTCTTTTGTCCATCTTATATCTGTCATGCACATCCAAAATAAATAATTATAAAAAAAAACTCATCCCTACTTTAAAAAAAAAAAATCATGTATTTAAATATACTCTGAATTAAAACATCTGGACACTACACACAAAGACATACATATAATCACATACACCAGGGCACACATGTCAAACACAGAAACATACATTCATTTTACATGCACATACAATTGAATACACAGTACATCTACACCAGCATTTATCTGCAAGAGATGCATGATCTAATTTTGCCTGGAGGTCCAGGCCATTTTCAGTACTTTTCTAGAGAGTTTCACCCTCTAAAACATCTGCTACTATGGCTGGATGGACTACAGAGGGCACTGGTCAAGACCCCTGGTAGTTACAGTTGCAAGAAAAAGTATGTGAACCCTTTGGAATGATATGGATTTCTGCACAAATTGGTCATAAAATGTGATCTGATCATCATCTAAGTCACAACAATAGACAATCACAGTCTGCTTAAACTAATAACACACAAAGAATGAAATGTTGCCATGTTTTTATTGAACACACCATGTAAACATTCACAGTGCAGGTGGAAAAAGTATGTGAACCCCTAGACTAATGACATCTCCAAGAGCTAATTGGAGTGAGATGTCAGCCAACTGGAGTCCAATCAATGAGATGAGATTGGAGGTGTTGGTTACAGCTGCCCTGCCCTATAAAAAACACACACCAGTTCTGGGTTTGCTTTTCACAAGAAGCATTGCCTGATGTGAATGATGCCTCGCACAAAAGAGCTCTCAGAAGATCTATGATTAAGAATTGTTGACTTGCATAAAGCTGGAAAGGGTTATAAAAGTATCTCCAAAAGCCTTGCTGTTCATCAGTCCACGGTAAGACAAATTGTCTATAAATGGAGAAAGTTCAGCACTGCTGCTACTCTCCCTAGGAGTGGCCATCCTGTAAAGATGACTGCAAGAGCACAGTGCAGACTGCTCAATGAGGTGAAGAAGAATCCTAGAGCGTCAGCTAAAGACTTACGAAAGTCACTGGCAGATGCTAACATCCCTGTTAGCGAATCTACAATACGTAACACACTAAACAAGAATGGATTTCATGGGAGGATACCACAGAGGAAGCCACTGCTGTCCAAACAAAACATTGCTGCATGTTTACAGTTTGCACAAGAGCACCTGGATGTTCCACAGCAGTACTGGCAAAATATTATGTGGACAGATGAAACCAAAGTTGAGTTGTTTGGAAGACTATGTGTGACGAAAAAAAGGCACAGCACACCAACATCAAAACCTCATCCCAACTGTGAAGTATGGTGGTGGGGGCATCGTGGTTTGGGGCTGCTTTGCTGCGTCAGGGCCTGGACGGATTGCTATCATCGAAGGAAAAATGAATTCCCAAGTTTATAAAGACATTTTGCAGGAGAACTTAAGGCCATCTGTCTACCAGCTGAAGCTCAACAAAAGATGGGTGTTGCAACAGGACAATGACCCAAAGCATAGAAGTAAATCAACAACAGAATGGCTTAAACAGAAGAAAATCAGAGTCCTGACCTCAACCCGATTGAGATGCTGTGCCATGACCTCAAGAAAGCGATTCACACCAGACATCCCAAGAATATTGCTGAACTGAAACAGTTCTGTAAAGAGGAATTGTCAAGAATTACTCCTGACCATTGTGCACGTCTGATCTGCAACTACAGGAAATATTTGGTTGAAGTTATTGCTGCCAAAGGAGGTTCAACCAGTTATTAAATCCAAGGGTTCACATACTTTTTCCACCTGCACTGTGAATGTTTACATGGTGTGTTCAATAAAAACATGGTAACATTTCATTCTTTGTGTGTTATTAGTTTATGTCTGTGCCCATTTGATTGACCTGCTATGTCAATGCCCTTATAACAGGCCTGCTCTATCTGTGCCCTTTGTTCGGTCTGAGCTATCTGGGCCCAAAACCCCTTTTGGCTGCGGGCCTGGGAGGATATCACTGAGGAGAGCCAAGTACCCACTTTTGACATGGACATAGGTGGGTACCCAGGCAAGCACTGCTGCTTTACTATCCAAGAGGACACCAGTATACGGCACCTCAATATGATTGCCCTGAAGGGCGAGGTTTTCTTTTGAGGATCCCCAGGCGCACCACCATGGTTTGCACCAACCCGGTGGCGGCACCTCTCCAAAGAGAATTTTGCACAAGCAGGGAGCAATGCAACAGATGCCAACAGGAGAGCACGGTTGCCTTGCCTTCAGCAACTAACCATTTAGCTTCCTTCCTGGTATCCATCTTAGGTATTAGCAGGGCCGGATTAACATAGGGGCTGATGGAGCTGCAGCTCCAGGCCCAGGCCCATGGAATAGGCCCATTGATTTAAAAAAAAAAAAAAAAAAAAATTTTTTTTTTCTCAGACACTAATCTTAGGGATTCCACCTGGCTTTTATTTTATTGGCACAGCCAGTATTTGAGGCTGCCTGGCCAATATTACAGTGATACTGGCAATACAAATGCTGGTATTTTTCTCAGTATAAACAAGAAATTACTCTGCAATACCAGCACTGGCCAGTAGGGGTCACTGTGTGTGGAGACAGGCAGGGATAGGAAGTTCCAGCATATCCCTCCCTGCCTATCTATACTCACTGATCTGCAGGGATGCAGCTACAGAGAGTCCAGACAGCAACTCCCACCCTGCAGAGACAGCCTACAGCTCAGGGAAGTAAGGGATGGGGGAAAGGCTGCAAGGAGACATGGGGACACTGAGACACTAAGGGACATTGGGAGACATTATGACACAGACACATGGGGACACAGTGTCCCCATGTCTCCCAGCCAGTGTCCCTGGTGTCTCAGTGCCCCCTAGTCTCCCAGTGCCTCCAGTCTGCCAGTGTCTCACCGTCCCCATGTCTCCCAGTGCCTCCATGTCTCCCAGTGCCTCACGTGTCTCAATGTCCCCATGTCTCCAAGCTTGTGTCCCTAGTGTCTGAGGCCCTGGTGTCTCCTTGTCCCCATGTCTCAATGTCCCCATGTCCCTGAGTAAGTGTCTCTAGTGTCTGTGTCCATGGTATCTGTGTCCCCATGTCTTCAAGTCTCCCCTATTTTCCCAGTGTCCCCATGCGTCCCAGCCAGAGTCCCCTAGTCTCCCAATGTCACTGGTGTCTTCGTGTCCCTGGGTCTCCCCGTGTCCCCAGGTCTTCCCGTCTTCCTAGTGACATGGGGGCCCTGGGATACATGGGGACACAGGGATACATAGGGCATTGAGACACTGTGATACATAGGATCACTGGGAGACCTGGGGACACGACACTAGGGGACACTGGGAGTCATGGGGCACTGAGACACTGATACATAGGAACACTGAGACCTGGAGTAATCGACACATGGGGGCACTGGGAGGAATCCATCTATACAGCAGAATCAAACTAAGTAGTTTTTTGGTGATTTTAGAGCATTTTCTCTTATGTCACTCATGCGATGTCATCCATACATATTTAATTATGCAAATTAGTAAGGCTGGTATGTTTTTCCAAGAAAGGTGGCAACCCTAACTACTTTTCACATACTCTTACTTAAGAATGGAAACTTAAGAGGGATGTAAGGGAACAAAACTTGTGTGGACTGGCTGACAATGAATATAGTTAAAGGGATACTAGAGTCACCAGAACAACTACAGCTTATTAAATTTGTTCTGGTGAGTAGAATCATTACTGTCAGGCTTTTCGCTGTAAACACTGTCTTTTCAGAGAAAATACAGTCTTTACATTACAGCCTAGTGATAATTTCACTGGCCACTCCTTAGATGGCTGTTAGAGATCCTTCCTGGGTCATGGCTGCCTAAAATGCATCCAAACATTCAGTGTCTCCTCCCTCTGCATGCAGACACTGAACTTTCCTCATAGAGATTCATTGATTCAATTCATCTCTATGAGGAGATGCTGATTGGCCAGGGCTGTGTTTGAATCATGCTGGCTCTGCCCCTGATCTGCCTCTTTGTCAGTCTCAGCCAATCCTATGGGGAAGCACTGTGATTGGATTAGGCCACCACTTCTAATAATGTCAACAGACTGCTGGTTTTTCTGAGTCTAACAGCATGCAGAGTTACAGCTTCAGGCTTGAATGCAGTGAGATTTTGCTATATTTATGGAGCCATGAGGGACCCAGGGGGGCTAGATGGTGGTTTTAATACTATAGGGTCATGAATTCATGTTTGTGTTCCTGACCCTATAGTGATCCTTTAAGGTAATGCTGACTTTGGTCTCTCTAACACTGTGGCATGTTCCTTTTCTTCTACACTCACTACATACGGCTTTTCTCTTTCCCAAACTATATACCAGGAGCTTCTGCCTGCTAGTAAGAAGGTAAGGAGACAAGTGGACCAGCAAGTGCTAGGGGACAGTCCTTAGAAAGCGTTGAGCGAGCGCATCATTAGATGCATTTATGCCAAGCTCAGGGTGCTGTCTGCATAGTATGCGCTTAGTTGGCCAGCTGCATGATTGGCAGGCAGCCTGACATGCATTCATACCAGGCTGGCCTTCTAATTCTTTGAGCAGACATATCCTCTTTTTTGGCATGTTTGCCCCTTTTGGCAGGTTACGTGATTTGTGTCAGTGGCACACCCTTTTACCCCGCCTATTGACTTCCTGCTTGACTGGACACTGCTGTTAGGGGTCATGGATTTACTTGAAAGAATAAAACATAAATTAGAGAGATATTAGCCTATGGTATGTGTTTTCTTATAGCTGCTGTTTTCTTTCTCTCCCGCACCATCTCCATCAGATACATGACGCTTGGGAGTGTTTTACTGTTTTTGGTTGATATGATTCTGTAATTAGGCCTGTCATAATTGTCAGCACCAGGCCCACTGGGTTCTTAATCTGGCCCTGGGTATTAGTAGTTAGTCCTATGTCAGGTTTAGCCCCTGACCCTTTCAGTTGGGTTTACTTGGCTTGCTGTTCCGATCTGCTATTTACCTTCTCTCCGAGGCATGTATTTACCGTTATCTACATTATTAGTCGTTTCTTGGTTTTCGAGCCTTCCTATTGTCCTATGGCTCAGGTAGTCGAGAGGCCTGTCTTGACCTCCTCTGACCTCTCGGGCTCTCGTGGATTGCGGAGAACGTCTCCAGCTTTCCTCAGGCTACCGTCGGTCATCCTGGACCCCGCGCGCGTGCACAGGAACCGGGTGGTCATTTGGTAGTTTCCATCATTGTTTCTGAAGGTTGCATGCTCTCACCATCCCTTTCTGTTATTAAGGATGGACACGGCCCGAGGTTTTATACTATTCCATCCTCCATCGGTTTGGTTTATTAACAGTTGATTCCCTCTCAGGTGAGCGATTCAGAGAGAGGTCTAGGGGTCAGAGAGAGACCCACCTTGGGATCTCAGTCTTATGTTGATATTAGTAAATGATGTACCCCTGCAGTTGGTCACCCTGAGTCTCCAAGGGACTGTAGTTTGGATTACAAGGGGGTGCGGCCCTCCATCACCTCGATCCGAGAATGATATTTTTTATTTTCACGTACAGAGAGCGAAGGAACTGGACACTGATTCGTTATTAAAGGGCACAGCCCTCCCTCAACCCGATACTGAGTTGGATACAGAGGACATGTTTTGAGTGACACATTCTCGTAGAGGGAACCGGTCATGGATGTAGACTCTACTATTTGGTTATTAACGGGTGCGGCCCGCTCAGACTATCAGCCGGACGCTGACACGGAGTTTGGAGTTTGGTCACCTTATTAGAGGGTGCGGATCTCTCATACACTCAACGCACTACGGTGCCGTCCATTTGTTCATCACACAGGCTTGTACCTGTGTAGGACAACGATGACTGCATAGAGGGGCGCCCCTCCTGCATTCAATTAGACCTAACGACCGTACTACCGATTTCGTTATTGAGGACTGCCTGATCATGCAGGATGTACATATTTAGACTGGATCCCTCTTTTTCACCTCCTCTAATAGAGCTACGGTACCACATGCGAGAAATACTCACAGAGGTATAACGGGGGAGACTCCCGCTTATTTACACACACTCCTGGAGATGGTACGGCTGACGGTTGAGCCTCAGGTATTACAAGAGTGCAGGTTTTAGTATATTGTGCGCTATATAAAACAGACAATTGCATTCTGTTTTAGATATCCGGACCATTGCGAACAAACTGCGCAGACAGTTCTTCCCATATCAAGATGGCATGAGTTACTGAGACCTTCATGGAGCAAACGGGCACTGCCTGGCTCAGGTAACAAGACTAGGGAAGGCCCGCTACCCAGTCTTCAGGAACACCGTATGCATGGATTGCACGGAAAGACTGGAAACCCCGGTTGACTTGATTTCCCTGGTCATGACAATCTTGGGATAAGTTGACAGGACTGCCCCTACTCCTCTGAGGGCAGTCTGGAGAACATGGTTCGGAGATGGAGGGCCCTCCGTCTATACTCTATATCCTCATGGGAGCCGTTTTGGGTTCTCGCTATGTATGTCAAAGTCAGGTCGCAACCTACCACTGGAGTACGGCTCAGAATGTGTAGCAGATTCAGATAGGACTACCAACATTTTCAAAGGGGACAACACACGATTCGCATGGTTGAAGCTAGACCCTTGTTTTTTTGTTATATCAGCTCGCTGGAGTCACCAGTCATGAGCGAAGAGAATTTACGCCTTGCCTGCGTATTGGAGAATGCTATGTGTTCGCTAAGAATGCTATGTGTTCCAAGCTAAGAAGGGAGGTATCCCTCTATAGGGAGACCTTGACTTCGGTTATCGAACTCACATCCCTGGGTCATACGTGCCAATCGGGGTACAGGGACCTGGGGGTCTCACTATATTATACCCTATCTTGTAGGTGGTGTGTAGACCAGGAACCTCTACAAAAATTTTGGCAGGTCAGGCATGGAACAGGATGATTGTTTTTCTCTCTGGCTACAGCATGTGAGGACTCTTCGTGGTTATACAGGTCCCAATCACCATTGGATCCGTACATCTTATCACTCTTAGACGATGACCTATCTGGATGGAATTCTCAACTCCGGTTTACATTTCCCATCCCATTGAATATTTCTGGGATCCACTATTCCCAGAATAGTCGACCACCGTTCCACCACACAAGTTTAGTTGGGGACCCTGATTGGACGTCCTTTTGGAGTCTTTTCTCTACCGCAGCCGAGGATTACACAGTCCATTTGGAATACTGGAATCACTTAGGATACAGCTAGTTTGACCACACTCTTACCTGCATAATAAATTAATTCTCGGATGAGACATCTCACCGGGTAGGCCAGGAGGGAACGAAAGATCCTACTCAGTTCTATTACGGAATTGGTGGTGGCGCATTCCTTGAGACTGGAGATCTACCTGCAAGGCCACATCGCTGGATGACCTTGGCACGATCGGAGGAGCCACCTTACACATCAAGAGTTGAAACATGGTGGCGGTTTCTTCTCGCAGCCCTAAGTCTGCAAATGACCTTCGACATTTTACAACTACAGGAAATTGGCTAATAGGTCAGCTTGGCAGCTCATGGACCGACTGCTAGGAAACAGGTCGCAGCCCCACGTACAATGGATCTATCAGCGGATGGTGTTTTTTCTGTATTTGGGATGCTTCGTCAACGGACATCTTCATCGATACGACTACTGTCATTTATCGCAGTTGGAAAGTCCATTTAGGATTGCTCTGATATCCCCCGGAATATTACATAGTTACATAGTTACATAGCTGAAAAGAGACTTGCGTCCATCAAATTCAGCCTTCCTCACAAATGTCGTTGCTGTTGATCCAAAAGAAGGCAAAAAACCTGGTCTGAAGCGCTTCCAATTTTGCCACAAACTAGGAAAAAATTCCTTCTTGACCCCAAAATAGCAGTCAGATGTCTCCTTGGTACCAGTGAAACAAACAGCGTTGGATTTGTTGACTGAGCGTTAACCCCTTAAGGACGGAGCCAAATGTACACATTGTGAACAAAACAAAATGTAAACAAAACCTGGCATTTGCGCTACATGTCTGTCCAACCGTAATACACCTCTTTCATAGTAAATGCACCCACCCTTATTATATATCATTTTATTCAGGGGAAACAGGGCTTTCATTTAATATCAAATATTTAGCTATGAAACATAATTTAATATGAAAAAAATGGGAGAAAATACGATTTTTTTGATTTTTTTAGTTCTAAATTGCATTTTAAAGGTCAGTGTCATAATACTGTTTGATTTTACTGCAATAAAATACACATATTTGTATTTAGTAAAGTCTCACGTGTAAGACAGTACCCCCTATGTACAGGTTTTATGGCGTTTTGGGAAGTTACAGGGTCAAATATAGCACGTTACATTTTGAAATTGAAATTCGCCAGATTGGTTACGTTGCCTTTGGACTTTATAGTAGCCCAGGAATGAAATTTACACCCATAATGGCATACCATTTGCAATAGTAGACAACCCAAGGTATTGCAAATGGGGTATGTCCAGTCTTTTTTAGTAGCCATTTGGTCACAAACACTGGCCAAAGTTAGCGTTAGTATTTGTTTGTGTGTGAAAAATGCAAAAAACGCCAATTTTGGCCAGTGTTTGTGACTAAGTGGCTACTAAAAAAGACTGGACATACCCCGTTTGCAATACCTTGGGTTGTCTACTATTGCAAATGGTATGCCATCATAGGGGTAATTTTCATTCTTGGGCTACCATAGGGTCTCAAAGGCAACGTAACCAATCTGGCGAATTTTAATGTGAAAAAAATGAAACACAAGCCTTATATTTGACGCTGTAACTTTTGAAAACACCATAAAACCTGTACATGAGGGGTACTGTTGTACTCGGGAGACTTCGCTGAACACAAATATTTGTGTTTCAAAACAGTAAAAGTATCGCAGCAATAATATCGTCCGTGTAAGTGCTGTTTGTGCGTGAAAAATGCAAAAAACTTCACTTTTACTGGCGATATCATCGTTGTAATACATTTTACTGTTTTGAAACACTAATATTTGTGTTCAGCGAAGTCTCCCGAGTAGAACAGTACCCCCCATGTACAGGTTTTATGGTGTCTTGGAAAGTTATAGGGTTAAATATAGTGCTAGCAAATTAAATTCCCTTTACTTTCGGCATGGGTTGTCAGGCAGGTCCTGCTAATTGTAATTAATTAAGATACCTAATTATGTAAAAATATTACATAAATATATATGTAGAATTAATATATGTATATATATACGTATGTGTATATATATGTATATATCTATATAATTTTTTAAAAATATTTTTATTTATATATAGGTATATATATAGTGATATATACGTATATATTTATGTATATAGATATATATATTATTTAGTTCTACGTGTATTTTGATATATATATATATATATTAATTTCACAAAACAGTTAGAACGAAATAACACACATCTATATATTTTCTAATTATTTATTTTTAATTATTTTTGTAATTTTATTTTTTAACGTATTTACATTTTAATTTTTTTTATAATATATATAAATATATATATAACAATAATTATATATATATTTAATCAGTATCAGTCTACGTGTAATTTGATATTAATATATATATATAATTATATATATATTAATAGTAAAATACACCTAGACGGTGTATGTGTGTGTATGTATATGTGTATATATATACTTAGATCATATATATATAATATATATATATGATCTAAGTATATATAATAATTTTTTTTTACACCATTAACTTATTTTACTTTTATTTTCAGCCAGCAGGGGGACCACCTGTCATTACAGGCAGCCCCCCTGCCGGCAATACAGAAGCCAGCTATACCCGGCCATATGATTGTGGGGTCCTCGCTAGGACCCCACTCTCACATGGCCGGGGGGCTTCAACGAGGACGGATGTGCCGCGGGGGGCTCCCTGGGAGTCCCCCCAACCGCGATCGCCGGCGTGGGACCGCCGGCGACCGGGTAAGTTAACAAAAACCGGAGGGCGTACAATTACGCCCGGCGGCGTTTAGAGCCGCCTATTAGAGGGCGTAATTGTACGTCCTCCGGTTTTAAGGGTTAAAACAGCAAATACGAAGCCTCCTGTCATGTTATAAAATTGTAGATTATGCTAGCTTTAGTGTACCTATAATCTTAATTTTATTAATGACAGGAGGCGAGTATTTCCCACCCATTCTTACCCATCCCTTGTTTAATTTTAATAGTTTGGATTAATCAGGTACATATGCAACTCTGCTTGTTGTCTCTGCTACCTGTCACTTGTTTCTTATGTCTGTTTTCATAAGTAGGGTTGGGATATCTACATATTAAGGTAATTTTGGTTACTACATTGGGTACCTACATGTTTATTCAGAGTACATTTCATTGGATAATCATCCTGTTCGATTCTGTTTTTCTCTCGTTTCAGTTTACAGTCCATCAACGCTATCTGATTTGGCAGTTCTTCTCAGATGGTGGACATTGGATGATGGTCTTCATTGTATCTAGGACTTTGTTTCTTCCCCATTATGTTTTCTGCTTTTATTCTGTTTTTGTCGCAGCTTGAAAGAGGAAATGATGCATGGGGAGGGGAGTTTTATAGTACCTAACTTTTTTCTGATTGGTTGTTTTCTGTGCTGCTGTGGAGTTCTAGTAAAGAGAGACTTAAACAAATACTCGCCTCCTGTCATTAATAAAATTAAGATTATAGGTACACTAAAGCTAGCATAATCTACAATTAACACCTTGTTGCACTGGTAGTTGCACTTTATTCTGTGATTGCAAATTGACCTGGGTTATTTTTATAGTAATTGCACTTTAACCCCTTAAGGACCAAACTTCTGGAATAAAAGGGAATCATGACATGTCACACATGTCATGTGTCCTTAAGGGGTTAAACTTGAGACTGCACCCTACTATTTTTATCCATTATGTAGGTATGTAATTTAGAAGATAACCTCACATGATCCAGAGCCAGGACACCTCCCACAAAGTGCTGAACCAGTCTTTCTTGAGTAGTAATTTAATCCGTGGTGTTTTCTTGGTAACGTGCACTTTTTCTTTCTTGGTGTATAGCTGCTGTGTTTGATATTCTTGATATTACTTTATTTAACAATGTTTTATTTACACTAGTACTACTTTTCTTTTTAATAAAATTACTTAGTGACCCAAAACTCATAAACACAAGAGTTTATGTAAAGAAGTAAATGTATTATAATGAATGCTATACATTTGGAAAATCTAAGGAGAAACATTCACACACAGGTATCCACTGAACTTGTAGAGTGAGTGCTAATGCCATCAGAATGTTTTACTTTGACCAACTTCAGCAAAGTCTATAAGGGATAATATAAGTGCCAAGAATATAAACATTTAGAAGATAACCTCACATGATCCAGAGCCAGGACACCTCCCACAAAGTGGGAATTCAATCAGTGGTGTTTTCTTGGTAACGTGCACTTTTTCTTTCTTGGTGTTTAGCTGCTGTGTTTGATATTCTTGATATTACTTTATTTAACAATGTTTTATTTACACTAGTACTACTTTTCTTTTTAATAAAATTTCTTAGTGACCCAAAACTCATAAACACAAGAGTTTATGTAAAGAAGTAAATGTATTATAATGAATGCTATACATTTGGAAAATCTAAGGAGAAACATTCACACACAGGTACCCACTGAACTTGTAGAGTGAGTGCTAATGCCATCAGATTGTTTTACTTTGACCAACTTCAGCAAGGTCTATAAGGGTAATTCAGTAATTCTGAATTCTGGCACTATAACTCAATCTGCCCCCCCCCCCCCATTCTCCCCAACCGCAGTAAATAATGGTTAAAAACCCTTTATTTACTTACCTTACCCCAGCGACGATGTCCCACGGCCTTGGGTCGTGCTTGGACAAACATCTGTGAGACAATGCAACAAACCGTGTCAAAATGTTAGCGCATTTTATTTTAAAAAGTACATTCTCAGGGGGCGGAGCTAGCTGCATTCCAGCATGGACGCATCTTGGAAAGCTCCCTACCAACGCAAGCAAAATACACGATTTACCGGCGGAAATTGGACAGCTACCTCTCCCATACCTTGTCTTCTCGTCGGGGAGGTGATGATGGGTAAGAAAACCAAAAAAAACGAGGCCGGACAAACTCCCTCACAGCCACGACATCGTGAACTCCTCCGGAACTCACAGAAGGCTGCATGGGAGACAATGGCGTTGGGGGAAAACAGATTTTCCGTAGAAGACACATCGGTAAATACGTCCACAGGGCACAAGACCAAGACACCTCCAGCAGGAGACCCGCTCACTGCAGCTTTGTTGACAAAAATGTTTACAGAACTCAGGCAAGACTTAGCTGCCGACCAAGCAAGCTTCAAGGAGGCCATAGAGGGGGCCACCACAAGGCTTACCCTCCCATAGAGGGGGCCACGTCAAACTCCCAAGACACACGCATAACTATTCTGGAACAGAGAATTTCAGACCTCCACAAACAACAACTTGGCACAGCCGAGAAAGTGGAGACCCTGGAGGACCACAGAAGGAAAAATAACTTAAAGATCAGAGGGGTACCTGATGACATAGGACTTGCCGACCTCCCACACTACGTGAGGCGCCTATTGGCAACATTAATACAACCTAAACAGGCAAAACTCATGAAGATAGATGGATTGTTCCGCCTGCCCAAATCGGCAAAAACACCCCCAACTGCCACAGCAGACCTTATTGTGAGGTTTCAAACCCTTCAAGACAAGAGCGCTTAATTAGCAGCGACCCGAGGGAAAACCCATCTGTTATTCAAGGACTCCCATATATTGCTGTTCCCTAACTTGACGAGGAGCACACTCAACTGGCGCAAATCGCTTCAACCAAGCCTACAACACCTGAGATTCAAAAGTATCCCCTACCGCTGGGGAGTGCCACGACTCATCACTTTCACCTTCCAAGGGGCTACCTACCAGGCGAGGAGCCCACAGGAACTAGACTCACATTTGGGCCTGCTGGGCCTGACGGCACTTTGAAAGACCACCCTGACACGGCTAGACTCCACTACAGTTAGGGAATTCATACCCAGATCGCCTCGACGCACTACGCCAGCGGGCGACACAGAGAGAACTATGACAGGAGGCTTCATATTTTGCATTAACTTTCTTTACTAACTCTATGGCAGCAAAGAAAAAACAGTTGAAATAAAGAACCTATCAGAATGTAGTCAGAGTATATATAAGTCTAAGCATATCCATATCACTTCCTCTTTCTTTGCTGCTCCATCAAAAGTCAGGTCAGAGTACTGTTTAACTATTCAATTGTGGAAAAGATAAAGGGTGAGATGCAACTTTTTACAACGACCTTTAAAGAAGAAATAAAGAAAGTAAATATAAGAATTACATCCATCGAAGAGAAATTGGAATGTTCAATGCTTAGAAATAACCTTATGGAAGATAAAATTAATTCCTTGGAGCAGAAAATAAATAACCTGGAAGCTAAGATGGTTGACTGGGAAGACAGGTCGCGGAGGAGAAATATTAGGATTAGAGGAATCCCGGAAAGTATATCCAACCAAATGTTGATTGCTTACCTGACTGAGCTTTTAAACTTTCTAGATATGCAGCTGCAAAATATCCCAATTATATTTGAGAATGTTCATAGACTGCCAAAAGCAAGAAGCCTACCAGCTCATATCCCAAGAGAAGTTATTGTAAGTTTTCATTTTTTTTACTTGAAGACCAAATTCAACCAAGCTTTAAGGCTGAAATCTTTAAAAGACTCAAAATTTGAAGAGCTAAAATGCTTTAATGACCTATCTCTGGCTACTAGAACTGCAAGGAAGAAATTTCTAACTTGCACAGGCAAGCTTAGAGATCACAACATAAGCTACACATGGCTATTCCCTACGGGGTTAAAGTTTTATTATAAAGACAATCTAGAAGCCTTTAAAGAAGTTGATAGTTTACATCAATGGTTATTAACAAATAAGATGATATGAAGCTATTCGAGATAAAACGGATGAGGGAAGCAGAGGTTATTTAAAATTTCCCTTTTTTTTTTTTTGTGAAGAGAAGCACTAAATAGTCTAACCAAACAAGGGGAATATTAAGTACCACAATAATTGTAAAACTACAAGGGTAACTTTAAAATTAGGGACACATATATATAAGTGAAATAGGGATATTAAGCAGAAATATAAATTAGAATATAAGGTTAGATAGTATATCCTAGATTATAATGAAATTATGTTGCACGGGGGAACACAACATGACATGCGCGTAAATAATATTATACACTAGTTTTTTTAATATATGATTAAACAGGATACAATATTTCTGTAGAATATTAGAGCAAATTAATATGAGATACAAAGAAAATTCACGGGATGCTTGAAGCAGTGTTAAGTATACATAATATATATAGCACTAGTCAAATTAATCACTAAGATAAGCACGGTTGACTAAAGCTATGAAGTCTCTTGAGGATTGCAATAGATAAGTACTTAATATATTAGATTTTTAATTTTTGAAACATAAGATTTGCACCTTGGCTAAATGATTGAGGAGATTATGTCGGTCAGATTGTTTTCAATATACGTATTATATATAGCACTGAATTTAAATTAATCACTGAGATATGCACTGATGATTAAAGTTATGAAGTCACCTTAGGAGGGTAATGGATAAATAGTAAAGGAAGAAGGTATTAAACTCTAGTTTTTTTTTTTTTTTTTTTTCTCTATGGAGTTTTTATTTATGTGGCTCTCGGGTTGATAATTAGGTATGATTCTCCTCTGCTTCCCTCCAACCGCTAACGCGGTTGAGTTTAACTGATTTATACCTTGGGTAGGTTACGATCAGTAAAGGGCTTTGGGATGGCTCCCATGGGAGGAGGGGTAGGGAGCCTTCGGGGGTTTAATGTTTTATGTACGTGCTGTCGTTTTGTTATGGTCTGGTCATATTTGGTCCTTCACATGAGATTGGCTCTATATGAGTTGTCCAATTCTAAATTTAATTAATTTTGGTAAAAATAGCAAGCCTGAACTAAGGGGAGTAGATTTAATAAAAAATTGTAATATTTTCTATAGAGTCCTGGAAGATGAGTTTACTCCCTATAGCTGGACACAAGGGAGATTGTTCAACTCTAAACTGGATTAATAAGGATAAAGATAGTAACTTTGAACCTTAGAGGTTTAAATTCACCACAAAAGCGCAATATCCTTCTTAGGTTTTTGAAAGATGAATCTATTTCTATATGCGGGTTGCAAGAAACACATTGGGAGCAAAGAGGAAAAATACGCTTAAATTCTAAAGATTATCCATTTATTTTTTCCTCCTCCTTATATGATAAAAAAAAAAGAGGGGTTGCGACCCTCATTTCTTCTAGATTAGCTTTTAAATTTATTTACCAAATACAGGATCCAGAAGGTAGATATCATATATTAATTTGCGAAATAAATAATAGGATTTATACGATAGTGAATCTTTATGCCCCAAATTTAGCCCCGATTAAGTTTATTAGGAAACTAATGGATATAGTAGATAGAAATAGACAAGGTATGGTAATCTATTTAGGGGATT